TGTTTTAAAACTGAAAAAGAAATTCCATTCTAAAGAATCAAACGCATTAGAAAAATCAACAAAGACTATTGTCCCTTCAAATTTTTATAAATCAGTGAAATCAATATATCTTGTATCTGTCTAAGAATAAAACCAATAAATGTATTCTTTAAATATCCTGTCTGATCTTCTATAATAAGCTTTGGTAGGATCTTTTTCAATCGTTGTGCTCGAGCGTACGAAAGAAGTTTCGTGTCAATATCCAAAAGAGAAATAGGGCGATAATTATTTAGTGACAAGGGATCACCCTTTTAATATAAAAAAAATATAAACAAAACACGTGTACGCTGTGAATATGTTAGTGTTTGATCTTTATATCAAATATTAAGAATACTTACTTCTAATTTAGGAGATTTGTTAAGTTTCATTTTATAAAAAGCATCTGAGCTTTCGTGTACTGAAATATCCTAATCGCAGACTGATTTATCATTTTCATCCATTTCTGTCTCTAGTTTTGTCTTAAATATATATTTATCGCTTGATGTTTTATCAGGGTATTGTGTCGAGTATGAATTTTTATAATACTCCTTAATACTACACAGTATATCATTTTGATTTGTTAAAATCTCGTCATTTTCCTCTTTTAATTAATTTTTTTTTCCTTTTTCTATTTTTCTAAATCTAAAAAAGTATGAGTTATTTTTTCCCTAAATTCAACCCATTTCTCTCGTGATCTGATTTGAGCCCTTTAGCCTTTTGTTCGTTAATTTTGGTAATATCATTTTCAAGTTTTTCAATATCATTTATCTAAAATGTTATTCTTAGATTCTTGCTCATCTGTAATTTTCAGTTTTATTTCTAATTTTTTTTCAAGAGTTCGTAACTTTTCTCTTGTAAATTTTGCTGAAGTTTTTCAAAAAGCTATAGTTGCCTTTCTTACCTTTATTCTAAATATATCCCATGCCAAACCAAGGTTTTTTTTTAAATACGATTACTCGTAAAGCAGCTATCTATTTCTTTATTAACTAATGTATGTAGTCAATAGTTTCTAATATAGAATTATAATAATTTATTTTTTTTCCAGTACCCCCTTCCCTCTTCTGATGCACCAGTTCTATATTTCATAAAAACACCTAAATGATCAGTAGAATCAATAATAGCAGTTTTAATTTTGCAACATTCTACTGCTGGTATGAAGTCTGAACTACTTGCATGTGATTCATCTTTTCTTGGCCAAGTATATTGTTGTTTATTTTTATTTAAATATCTCCAAATGTCAGTTAAGGTATTTATTTTTATTAAGGATTTTAAACTATTTACTGGTTGGACATTTTTTTCACCTCTGAACTAGTATTTTTTCTATCTATCCTTTTAATGTATCCCTCTCCCCCATTATTGTAATTCCTATCCCTTGTTCTTTAAATATATTTTTTTTACCTTTTTGAAAAATATGTTTCTATTAGTTTTGCAATTAGATGGATATATACACATTAGTGTAAAAACACTTTCGTCAATGTCTACAATAAGAAGAACCAATCGTCTTACTGCGACGTTCTGTTTATTTATCAACTTATAATTCAGTGCTTTTAATGAGAATAACCACGCCCCTACTATAGGTTGTTCCGTGACTGAAAAAAAATCAAATCTGAATTATTTCTTATTTCTGTTTCTATATTTTCATCAAAATGAGTTTCTTGTAAAAAGCAAACAGAGCAGTTTTGAGCTTTAATCCATTCAATTACTCTGTCTATTTTAGCTTTATTTTTAGTACCATTTACATCTTAACTACTTAGATTTATTAAAAATTTAGATGTTATTTCAAAGGATAATTTCATATTTTGAAATAGTTCCTCTCACATACCTGTACATGTCTACAAACAATACAGTTAAACAATATTTATATTTTTTTTAAAGTATTGTTTATCGTGCTAAATATAATTACGGGTATTAAACCAATAAAACACGCTACTTGTGAATACGGTATTTGATTTACTGGCCTCATTTGACCTTGTTATGTCTAAATCGATTGACATTAAAATTAACAATAAAATATTCAACAACCACCACGTGTTGTTCGTTTCTGTCTTAGATGTGAACTCGGATATATGTTTCTGATTTATATGTCTTATTCACGTAATGTGTGCATATCATCCTATCTAAATAAGCGGAATGACTGTTTTGTTAGCGATATTTACTAAAGAAGTCAAGTGTTTGGAAGAAATAAATATCTTGGATATCTGTAATTTGAAGTGTAAAGGAATATCCGATAGTGCATTTGTGGATTTATTACATGTACTATATTCAAATATGTATCAAGAATTGATTTTGCTAAACTAGAAATACAACATCAATTTATACGCTGATAGTAATGTAAGTATTTATACATTTTAAACTGTGAAAATTTGTATATAATTGTATACAGTATTTGGTCAAATATCAACAATTGTTCATTTACTATTAAAAGCACACAGCATTTGTATATTTGTATATTGCGCTAAATATAGCCCAGGTAAACACTAACATGTTAAACACATAAATACGTATCAGCTGCTTTGAATTATTCAGCAATTGACCTATAATAGTGTAGGTGAGGTATGCTGTTGAGACAGATTCCTGCGTTGAGATTGTGGTGTGTTCATGAATTTGTCTATAAATGATTGTGATCTGTCAGCATTGTTTGAATTTGTCCAATTCACACAAGTCTCTCCCTTTCCTGGTTTTGTAGGATTTGGTTTATTTGCATTGTTTTTGGCATCTGTTCTTTTCTGTTTTGTGTTTTTTGGTTTTATCTCCACATTTGACCTTGCTTTGGGGTTTTCAGCCTGTTCAGTGGATTGAGAATCATTTACAGATTCTTTGGTGGTCACTGTTTGTTCTTTATTATTGTTTTTTTCTTGGGATGCATTTGGACAACATCATCTTGTGGCCCATTAATTTGCATGTTTTGCAAACATTTGTGCTTTCTTTACGATTACCAAATACGGTTGTTTGATCTGGTTTTCAATAGTTGTTTATTACATTAATGATTAGATTATTGTTTATATAATTAGTACATGTAGTAAATAAGCTATTAATTATGGTATAAAATTCCTGGGACTATTATCTAGTCATAGATAATAATGTTGAGGGTTTTACGTCCATTAGACAACGACCCAAAATACATAAAATTGGTATAATTTAGTTTTCCATTTTGTAGATATTTTTCCCAGCAAGTACTCGAGTATCGCTCGGTAAAGCCAACAATTACTCTATTAGTAATTGTTCACCGAGTTGATGTCCCTAATATTTTTAAAAACAAAGGAGAAGGGGCAATAAGTCCCGTTTTTGGCCCAAGAAAAAAAAGTTTTTGAGAACTATTTCAAATTTGCACATAATATTTGGAAATGCATAAATTCAAGAAATATAAATGAATAACATAATATTTTTTTGATATCAGGACGTCACAATTACGTCACAAAATCCACCAATTTCATGAAAAGAAAGAAAACTGCTAAGTTTATGTTGTTTTCCTTCATTATTTCCTTCAAGGAAACATCGTGCGCAGGCAAGAAACAACAAAATAATTTAAGAGATGCTTTATTTTAACTATGGACATATTCTAACCAAATATAAAGTTGTTTCTTGGGTGCGCGCATACTTTTCCAATCTAATATATACCAAAAGGTTGATGTAAAAGAAGGAAAATCATGACATTTTACAAAATATAAACATTTTGTCATAGTTTGTTGGCATGGTAACTCGTTAAATTTGAAATTTGTTTTTATTTTCTGAACACCTTGCACCTTAGTGAAGTTTGGACAAAGTTATGAATATGTATGGTAACTTTTCAATTTGCACTAATATTTGGGCCAAATAAGGGCCTTATTGCCCCTACTCCATCGTCTCACCTTCTTGTTTACCTTGTCTTGCTAATCTTTTTTTTTTATCCACATGTTTCTCACTTTCTATTATTTTTCAAGATGATTAAAAAAACAATACGTTTGTAAAAAAACAATCATTGACGTGAAATTCTAATAAGCTAAAGGAGTCGATCTACAAATTCAGTTATATCAACATTTTGTATATCTTATCCTGCTGTGCTGATATGTTTTACTTTTTTTCGGTTTCTTTCTAACTATCATACATGCCTTGGTTCTCAAGAAAAAAGTTAAAAACTCAAAACAAGGTATTGTAAAAATATATATTCAAGAGCAATATTTGTAGATCTTTTCTTGCTGCTTAATTACATTAATGGGACCAATTTTCCTGAACCAGATGCGCATTTGGACAATAAATGTCTCTTCAGTGATGCTCTAGGCATCTACTTTATTTGTCAATACAATACCCAAAACTGCAAAGTGTTGTTTTTATTAGCATTTCAGTGTCAATAACCACATAATTGGTTATTCTATTCTGGAAAAATGTCTTATTTAAAAAGTAAACAGTTTCAGTAATTTTCAAACGCATCAAATCTATGAAGTCTTATTTCAATTTTCTATATGAATTTATACTTGACTTGATGAATATTTTATTAGTGTCTCCAACTGCTTAAGTTTTTGAGAGAAATGGCAAAACTGCGATTTTACTCATATTAACATCGGTGAAGTTTGTTGGTCGAGTGAAATAAGCGATTCAATTTTGAAGGTAGATTTCCATTAAGATTGCAGTCATGTTTAACCCTATCCATGAAGCGAATGCAGGTGGTATTTTTGAAAATGTTGATGACGATAACAAACAATTAGCGACGACAAACGACACCATACACCAAGAGATGACAATAGATCATATGAATCGTCGGTCCAGATGATCTAAACAAATGATAGATAAATATATTGATAAAACACTATTCTGAAAAACTTGCTTTTAAATTCAAATAAAACGGGAGAAAATTTAGATGCTCCAACGTGACACCAGTATAGAAGAAGTTAGTTTTTTTCAAGTAAAAGAGTTATCTACTTATATAAAAAAACAAATATTTTTTTTATGATTTATGCTTTATTGACGCGCACTTTATAAACACCTCTTTGCATATTTCATTTTAGATGGCACGATAGAGACTTATGATTCACCAAAAAATATGACAGAATTTGATGTAAGTTTTATAAAAGCAGTATAGTGGTCTGCATTTCTATGGGGTATTTTATTACACGTCAAGTTAAATATGTATATATTGATAGGAAATTTTTGAATTGATAGTATATAAGTATAAAGTGGATTGCCTAAAATAAAATTGTAAAAAAAATATGATTTTAAACAAACAATAGAAGACGTTGATGTTGATCTAAAGTGTCAATGAGAAACCGTCCAAAGAAAATAGTGAGACCTGAAAAGAAAAGGCATATTCTAACTGAAATAAACGTTTGAAAATTGAATCAAAATATTTTTTTTTTGCGTGCATTTATTATGCGAATCTTGAACAATTGACAAAAAATGAGATTAATTATTCAGACTTCAAGAAATGCTGCATACAAAAAATGTTATCCATACTTGAAATGCCAGGTTTTTATGTCGGGTTTTCGTGGCTCAGTCTTTGGTTTTCTATTTGATATTTGAAGTAAATCTTTTTGTTTTTGCCATGATTTTATCGATTTTTCTTCTACAAATGAATTTCTTATTGGCCCAATGGTGTCATTTTACCTCACCTGGCACACAGCGCCAAGTGAGCTTTTCTCGTCACTTGGCGTCCGTCTTCCGTCGTCGTCCGTTTACTTTTGCAAAAATCTTCTTTTCTGAAACTACGTGGCCAAATTAAATCAAACTTGACAACAAGCATCATTTGGGTATCTAGTTTTTTAAATGTGTTCGATGACACTGCTTGCACTCTAAGATGGCCGACATGGCTAAACAATAAAACACAGGGATAAGTTGCAAGTTTTGTCTATTATTCTGAAAACCGCTATAAATAGACATGTTACGAAAAGATATGTACACGACGCTGAAGTTGACAAATTAGACTTTAAATGTGGGGATTGTGTCAAAACATTGATGATCGATTAAAACATGTAAAATTCAATTTGTGTGTTGTTAACCAGGTATCTTACATACGCCTTGGTTCATTTAAAATTATATTGATTTATAGAAGAATCATTTTCTAATATCATTGGTTGTGATTATAGGACTGGAAAGGTGCACGTGTGTGCGGGGGGAGGGTTTGGTGGTAATTCAAGTTTGCACTTCTGATTTGAAAAAAAAATCACATGATAAGCCAGTTTGATTTTTTTATATTAATGACTGTTCTTCGACAATCTGTAACTTCGTTGCTAAACCTTGTCCTGAAAATGCATGAAATATTTGTCACTGGACGAAAAACAAACAACAATCAATCAATCTTTACTAAACCGGCACAAAGCTCTAGTCTGGTTGATTTTATTTTTTGAAGTCTCCATAGGCTTCAACTGACTTTGAAAGTTTTTAGCGCATAAAAGCGTGTTCCACATAATCATATCCGACATCCGAACGATAATAGCGAGTACATGTTTTACATTATATTCTTTCTGCTCTTGGTCTACACGCAGCTCTACGTTTATGACGCCTACATAGGGTAACGAGAGGAGAACGACATGCGATAATTTTATTATCTTAAATGACAAACACCTGGGGAAAACTGAATTCCATACCTGGCCAATTGAAGGCATTACATTAAACTGTTGAACATCATCATGTTGTCCTAGGAAACTACTGTGTGTGAATATTTTATTATTCATATTGTCCACAAAAACCTGTGTATGTATGGAATGCCGGTATCTGAAGTAAAATTGTTCTCGGGGCCTCGCGTGTTGTCTGTAAATGGCATGAAAACTGCTGTCGATTGCTGCTAACACTGTAGGCATTTAATGTCACCTGCCCCGTACGTGTTCTTCGGTCGATTAAGAAGTATTTAGTGCATAGTTTTACACTAGTCATTTTTGGGGCCCTTTATAGCTTGCTGTTCGGTGTGAGCCAAGGCTCCGTGTTGAAGGCCGTACTTTGACCTATAATGGTTTACTTTTAACAAATTGTGACTTGGATGGAGAGTTATCTCATTTGGCACTCATACCACATCTTCTTATATCTATATAGATTTCACAAAGAACCGATATTTAAGCATGTATTTGTGCACTCGTAACATGAACAGAAACCTCAAACAGAAATATGCAGGAACATGTATTTAGGATGTCAAACCGGTGTAAAGCGAGTCACATTTTGCATAGAACCCTTACACAAGAAACCTCAATTTCAGTTTAAACTTGGTTTGTTTTTTGTTTGGTTTTTTTTTTTTTTAAGACTTCCTTAAAGTTAGAGTTAAAGAAATAAACAAAGAAAATACGTGCATTAAAGGGTATATGAAAGGAGTACTTTTCGTACTGATTGAAAGGATGGTCAAACGGGTACGACAATTTCAGACCTCAAAAATTACAATGCGAAATGCTTGGAACTTTGCAATAATAAATATAGGATGTCTTTTTCCAAAGATCCTTATTCCGTTGGATCGAACCAGGCACATTTTACAAGAAAATAATATAAGGGAAATTAAGCTTTTCCTGAGTAGGTATTAACAGATTATTTAATATAAAGTCATTTCCTCGTCTAATAATGGTTAGCGAGGCCATAGATGTGTCATGTTGTTCATTTGTACAATTGCCAAAAATTCACTAAATTTCAAACTCCGAAAAATACTATCTCCAAAATAAATCCATAAAAGGAGTTGCACATTTTCTATGTACATGTCTATACATACCGTGTGCAAAGTTTAAAAGCTCCTAGGTTAGGAAAAAGTTCTGACCTCAGGTAAACACCCCTAGGGTTAAGTTAAAGAGATGCAAAAGATATACCAAAGGGAAATTCAAACTCATAAGTCGAATAAACTGACAATGCCATGGCTAAAACAGAAAAAGACAAACATACAAACAACAGTACACAAAACACAACATAGAAAACTAAAGAATAAGCAACACAATCCCCACCAAAAATGGGGTGATCCTTTCTGCAATACCCTTGCATCCTGTCTGTGTTCCAAAAGGAAGGAATATTATGGGATTTATCATTTTTATTCCTCACAGAATAATTGTTATGGAATATTTGTTCCATTAGAAAAATTTATAATGAAATTGTGTGTGAAAAAGTTTCCAAAGGGATATCTGTTATAAGGAACAAATATACGTGGACATCAGTACTTTGCAGTTTAAACACAAGATTCCATTGATACACATGTAATTTAAATCTTTAAATCACTTTTGTGTTTTGATACGATACCCACATTTAAAGTCTAATTTGTCAACCTCAGCGTCGAGCATATACAATTTCGTAACACGTCTAATAGAACAAAATCTGATAAGGGGCAGAAATGTTTAGAATGTTGTCTATTGTCTATTTACATCAAACCTTTCAGACTACTTATTATAGGAGTTATTACTCTTTAATGATGATCCAATTTTTACTGCTTTTGCCCATTATCTTGAAAACTATAATATATAAATAGATACTTAATATAGCAAAAATGATCAGAAAGGAAGGACCTACAAGGAAGTCAAAGGTTTGAAATCGTCAATCGACTCATAATTGAGTTCTTGCTTGTTGAAGACGATTTTTACCAATGTTTAGAGTTTAGCCAATTGACTTGAAATCTATTATTAATAGATAGACAATTTAGATAGCTAAAATTATCAACAGGAGAAATAAGTCAATATGACCAAAATCGTCAGTAGTCTCCATATTGGAGTTTCTGCTCTTTAATGACAAATTTTACCATTTTATTGCGTTTTTATCTATTATCTTGAAAACTACAAAAGATAGATAGAAACTTTAAATAACAAAAATGATCAGCAAGACAACATTTACATACAAGTCAAATTTGGCTAAAATAGTTAGTAGACTCTTTATAGGATTGCCCTGAAATGACGATTTGTTAACCCTCTTATGATTTGGGTAAAAACTTAAAAAGATAGAGAGAGCTTTTAACAGAAAGAATATAATCAGCAATACAAAATCCCCACAAAAGATCTGTGTCACGAATTCTGTTCTATTCTAGTCTAAATGTTGAAGAGTGTCCAATGTGTTAAAGATGCACATGAACCTATGTAAGCGACACAGGCGCTTAAGAATGTTAAGAGCCTCTACTTTACTTAAACAAAGCATTCACGTCAATGCAATTGACTTTTTGAAAATACAAGGACATTGATTTGGTAATCTAACAACCACAGATTAAGATCCATTATACACATGATATCTTAGAGATTTTTTTACAGTTAATCATGTTTCATATATACTAGTTAAATGATTTTTAGAATACAAAAATGCGCCAAGACCACACTTTTCAATATATGAAAGATTTTGAAAGTCAAATTCAGTACATACCATGAATGCAATGCATATCGCAATCTTTAACCAGAACCATTCAACTAGATGTTTAAAACTGGAAAGGGACATGTATGAAATCCCCGACAGACTGATAAAAAATCCTTGATTCTACAAGAAGTAACCAACCGAGTAACATAGTATTACGTCACAGCAATTATAAAAACCTTTTTACAATTTAGATTTTTCTTTAATTCAACGTTAGTTATTTTCTATGTTAATAATTAGTTTATTTTTACAGGCGGTACAAAAAGATGAAGCGATAGCAATAGAAAACCTGATACAGAAATTTAGGAATGATTACACTATTCGTAGAAGGGGAATAGAGCCACAACAGGCAACTGTTATGGAAGAGTTAACGAAATGGGCAAAGGGAGAATTAACGAAATTGGCTGGGGGGAAGTTTCAGAAAATTATCGACTGGGTGAGATACCAAGACACCGAAAAGAAATGAATTATGTAAAATATCTAGTAGAGATATCTTTTCGGCAGGTTTATGTCGATTGTATGTGTGTATTGTACTTTAAGATAATTGATCACTGAATATTCCAGAACAGCGTAGAGCATTTAATATATGCATATATACATTTGACATCTTCTTATATCTATATACTAGTATTGATGCAATATAAATGAAATGATGGACAAGTAGCATTATTTTTTCAAAAACAATGTGTAAGATATATAGAAGATAACATTTGCAACAAAATATTGATTACTTTATGTTTGTTAATATACGACTGATTAATTATCACAAATAAAAAAAATATGTTTAGTTTATTCATGAAGTCGGCTTTTAACGATGCTTAAAGTTTGAAATTATCCACGAACATCTGATGTACATTCTTCCGCCTCAAATAGAAGACATTGTTCGTATTAAAAATAAGTGCGAGCTTCTATCATTTAAAATTATGTGTGTTAATCAAGTGGGAAAATATTCTCGTATGTCCTATTCTACTGTTATCCAATTTATCAAATATACGAACATGTATGCTTATTCGTCAGTATTGCTTTATCTCAAACACCATTTCCTATTTGTATAGAAAACGTTCCGGTACTACGCCAATCATTTACAATTAAGTACAACCAAGTTTAAGTAAGTATATAATTGTCAGTATGTTTTTTAGTGATGCAATATGTGTACATGTCATTCGTTAATATGCAAAGATTTCAAACAAATCTTTCCCACACAATCTTGTGTCGTTGTCAGTAAGTTTCTGTTTTAAATGTTGTTTCTTTTTGATGTACTATAAGCTGACTTGACAAGTTACTTAACAACCAGTGTTTACTTCGAGATAAAACAATCAGGTACTGACCTTTTTTATATTCAAAATCCAAAGTTCTCTCTCTCTCTCTTTCTCTCTCTCTCTCTTCAACGAAGTTTCTAGACTAATGAATACAGTATTTGTCCATTGTCTGTCTTTACTTTGTTTGTAAAAAGATCTGTTGAGGCCTAGGCAATGGTATATTCTCTTTTGTCCATTGGTAAGACCGTACACAACTGCAATATAAGACTAGATGATATTTATACTGGTTAATAAATAGACAATTCAAATAGCTTTGAGGGAAAAAATGTTTTGTCTTCGTTTTATGACGTATAAAAAAACTTTCACCAAGCAATAGTAAATTATATTTTTGGATTTGTTCATTTTTAAGTTATGGAGAAGGATTCCCGATCGCTGCAATTCATAGCTGATATAAATTGACAAAACTTATTTTGAACAAAACGTCTGTGTGGTGAACTTAATTATAAGCCTATAATGGTATTTTCTTTTTTCAAAACTTTCTAACTACTTCTTTCTGTTTTGGTTCGAGCGTAACTGATGATTATTATCTAAACGAAACGCTCTTCCGGGTTGGAATCTTTGTTGAGTTTTTACGTACATGCTTCTGTCTTTCAACCTATATGTGTTTGATGATGGTTTTCATTTTGCTTCAGAAAACGTTAATGCTAATACACAAAAATGTATTTATTTCAATTTTTTAATGTTTAAACATTCATAAAGTCAATATTTTCTGATTATCAAAAATGTAAAATTCTAGTTATCATATTAGACCTTTAAAACTTACAGAAATAAAAAATAATTTACGATATTTATCAACTTTAAGTTTGAAGTTATAACTCTTGTTATCAAAGGGATAACATGATCTGGGTTTTTTAAGGACACACGAAATCTAAGATAAATACCACGCCTCCAAATACGTTACATGTGATTTTCTTATTATTTGAATAATATCTTTTAAACAATACGACGTTAAACATGATATTATTGTGTTTGCAATCGCTTATTAAGCTTTTCGAAAACGAATAGAGGATACGGCCTAGACTATATAACACAATTTTTCCACGGGTAGTACTTAACGTCGTCATATCGAGGAGCGTTTAGTACAATTTTTGGTCATAGTTTGGTTTAGTTGGTCATGACTTTTTATGATAAGTACATGTATGAATCCCCTTTGCATATTATTAATTTATAAAACAATAGACTTAAGGATATTCTCCTTTATCATATAATGTTTTATATAAATATTCTTTGCTAGAGAATGAACTTGGGTCATTTTGTTCTAGGTTGGGACAAAATAGGGCGACTGGGTTTAATTCGTTGAGTCCTAATGTACAATTAAGGGGATTGACCATGGTAATATGTGTTTTATATATTTCTCATATTAGGGATTTAGTTTTCTTCTCAAATCAAACTTTTCATTGTGGACGCCCTGCAACTAACTCCGATAAAAATGGGTTAGTCATATTATCATATTTCTAAACTTAATGTAGCAGTTATCTTAGTCATCAAATATTTTGGTTTCAATCAGTTTATGCCATTATATGGCTGACAATTCAATCTCTTGACTATCTTGCAGTTGTATAACGAATGAGGTGTTACCATCCATACATCTTTATTACACTGAGGAACCAATTTCTATGACGTTGAAATTTTATGTGATATTGACCTTGGCTCATAGATAATATGAAGTTGATTATTATCGGACGTTTTGATAATGTGCAAATAAATTTTAGCGAAATTTTCTGTTTATTTTACACTTTAAATTCGTATATCATTCTGCTACGTTTTGTCCCGACAGAAGGTATCCCCAGCCTAGAAGTCAACACTTGTGTTGACATGAAATAGCATTCATGTGTCAATTTTCTGCTAATTTGCTGCTTATCAAATGTTGAATTATTCAAAACATTAAAGTTTTCCTACCCCAAGCATAGTCTGTGTTTAATGCTCTTCATCTTTGCACTTAATTTAGCCTTTAAAATATTTTGATTCGGTGCCATTGATGAGCCTTATGTCGACGAAATGCGCGTCTGGTTTTTCAAATTATAAGCATGCTGTCTCTGATGAGTTTTTAAAATACTTGTTTTCAAATACTGAGATATTTTTATGAATATGTATAAGATTTCCACTGCCACTTACTATTGATAAATTTTGAAAATAAGCGTTTGGTGTCAAATGAACTTTAATATTGTCCTGTCCAAAGTCAGTAACCTGTTGTTCAGTGGTTGTCGTTTTTTTATGTGGTTCATATGTGTTTCTCGTTTCTCGTTTTTGTCGAGCCTTCGACCTTTGTCGAAAAAGCGAGACATAGCGATCCTACATTCCGTCGGCGTCGTCGTCGTCGTCGTCGTCGTCGTCGGCGTCCACAAATATTCACTCTGTGGTTAAAGTTTTTGAAATTTTAATAACTTTCTTAAACTATCCTGGATTTCTACCAAACTTGGAGAGAAGCTTGTTTATGATCATAAGATAGTATCCAGAAGTAAATTTTGTAAAAAAAATAATTCCTGTTTTTCCGTATTTTACTTATAAATGGACTTAGTTTTTCCGCCAGGAAACATTACATTCACTCTGTGGTTAAAGTTTTTAAAATTTTAATAACTTTCTTAAACTATCCTGGATTTCTACCAAACTTGGACAGAAGCTTGTTTATGATCATAAGATAGTATCCAGAAGTAAATTTTTAAAAAAAATCCTGTTTTTCCGTATTTTACTTATAAATGGACTTAGTTTTTCTGCCAGGAAACATTACATTCACTCTGTAGTTAAAGTTTTTAAAATTTAAATAACTTTCTTAAACTATCCTGGATTTGTATCAAACATGGACAGAAGCTTGTTTATGATCAAAAGCTAGTATCTAGAAGGAAATTTTGTAAAACAAAATTTCATGTCTTTCCGTATATTACTTATAAATGGACTTAGTTTTTCTTCCAGTTAACATTACATACAGTCTGCAGTTAAAGTTTTTAAAACATTTATTAGATTCATAAACTTTCCTGGATTTTTACCAAACTTGGACAGAAGCTTCTTACAATAAAAAAAATTGTATCGAGAGGAATATTTTTATTAATTTTTTTCCTCATCTCATTTTTGTTGAGCCTGCGATTAACAGCAAAAGTAGGCGAGACACTTGGTTCCGCGGAACCCTTACGAATTTTTTATATAGATTAACCGTTGGTTTTCCTTATTATATTGTTTTACACTAGTCATTTTTGGGGCCCTTTATAGCTTGCTGTTCGGTGTAAGCCAAGGCTCCGTGTTGAAGGCCGTACTTTGACCTATAACTGTGTACTTTTTACACATTGTGACTTGGATGGAGAGTTGTCTCATTGGCACTCATACCACATCTTCTTATTTCTATTTAATAGTATACCCTTAGGTTTATCAAATTAGTTTTTGTGTCATTACATTGGCTAAAATAGAGACAAAAGATACCAAATGGACATTCAAACTCATGAGTCGTAAATAAATTGACAACACTATGGTTAAAAAAAAACAACTAACAGACAAACAACAGTACACAAAACACAAATAGAAAACTAAAGACTGAGCAACACGAACCAAACAAATTTTCAGATAAGCCCAATGAAAACGAATTTCTATAAGCTACTTCTTAAAGAAAGAGCATTAAAAGTACGAAAATAGAAATGATGCACTAAAAAACCATTATTCGAAGAATAACACACAAGATTATGACAGAAAATAGGAACAAAGAAGGATCTACAGGTCACTAAACAGAAAACTGTAAAGATTGAGTAAGAAGGCATTTTGTTTGAAATAGGTTAAGACACTCTCTCTAAACACGGCATTGCATTTAACGTCCCTATTCTGACTGGACGTGGCTCCGAATAAATAAATCGATCTTAGGTAAATGGACGCATTCTTTAGCAAGAGTATTACTGTCGGTCGGCCGAGGATAAAAACATAGTAACATAACAAAAATACAGAATTCCGAGGAAAATTCAAAACGGAAAATCCCTAATCAAATGGCAAAATCAGAAGCTCAAACACATCAAACAAATTGATAACAACTGTCATATTCCCGACTTGGTACAGGCATTTTTTATGTAGAAAATGGTGGATTAAACCGGGTTTTACAGCTAGCTAAACCTCACTTGTATGACAGTCGCATAAAATTCCATTATATTGACAACAATGTGTGAAAAAAACAAGCAGACATAAAAGGTAAAACTGTCCAAAATAGGGTTACAGCAGTCAACATTGTGTTATAATCTTAATCACTATAAATACAAACAAATATGTCAACAACAAAAAAACAAAAAGGCAAGGAATGACCATATGTCTTTACCTCCAGACGACCCTTAGGTTAATTGGATATACATCAAAAACCAAAGACAGAGCGTTTTAAGTACCGTTTTTATTTGGATAAATGTGAAAGAAAAAAAAATAATATATCAAATGGACGGCTGTTTTCGTGTAGGTCCTGATCAAAAAAATTGTTCGAAAATCTTAAAGGAGACAATTGAAGAGCTCATC